TCAAATCGACCTGCTTGCCTCAGAGTACAGGCCTCCTGCCTTGAGCCTGGGCCCCCACAGCAGTCTCCCTGTCTCACCACATGATGGGCCTGACCATGCTGAGCCTTTGCTTAAGACCTGTCCTTCACAGCTGTCATCATTTGGAATTCAAACCAGCTCTTCCCCATGGCCCGCAAGAGCCCCCTCTGCTCTGACTCTGCTTGGCCCTCATCAGACCATGGTTTCTGCTGCACGGCAGGCACCTGCAGGCTTCTGAGCTTTGCATCTGCCATGCCTAGGATGCTCTGCACCTGGTTTTCTGCACAGCTGGCTCCTTTTTGTAGTTTGAGCTGTTCAAATGTCACTTTCTTCCAGAGTGACATTCTCCTTCTCGCACGGGGCTACTCTGAAGTGTTAGCATGCCTTAGTTCCTTTGCAGTATTTGCTGCACTTTGGGCTTTAGTTATTGCCCATTTCCCTCGCAAGAGTTCAAGCTCCCCAAGGGAAGAGAAGCTTTGGATGTTTCTTGTTCTGGGTGAAATCCTGGGCTGAGCACGGTGCCTGGCACATCAGAGGCAATCAATAACTATTTGTGGAATGAATGGTCAATAACAGCATCTGCTGCTCAGCTTAGGAGGGGCCTGGTGCACTTGTCGGTGTATTCTTCTTGTCACTTCCAGCCTCAGGCCTGGACCTGGGCACATACAAAGCAGCAGCTAGGAGAACTTGGGAGACCATGGGGCCAGGCTGTGGCTCCAAGCCAAAGGACTGTGTCCAGGTGCTCTCCCAGGCTGCAGCTGGGGAGCTTGCTCACACCTGGCTACCTGACTTCGACCAAGACATCCAAGTGCGCTGCTCCTTGGTTCACGGCCTGGTGAGAACAGCCCTGGTGAGAACACCCCTGGTGCGCCGCACCTCCATCACTGAAAACCAGTGCCTCTGTGGGTCACTAAAGGTCTTTGAAAAGCTGAGAATGCAGTGCAAGTGAAAGACACAGTGGGTGGCGATAAGGCTGCACACCCATCCGAGCTTCAGAACCACAGGGCTGTCGCTGGCACCAGCGTTGAGTTTCTGGGGAAGGGCGGGGGCTGCAGAAGGCCCAGGCTCCTTTGCTCATGGGGTGGGGAAGCTTATGGGTTAGCTGCTGCTGCTTTGGGATTCTTTGGGAGAGAACCAGCAGCTCTTCATGGAGACTCAGTTTCTTCCTAAGTCACAGCTTCCTCCACTTCAATCTGGTTTGAGACCCTTTTCATGTGAGATTTCTTCCTGGATAATCAGGCCGGGTGGTATGGGAACACTTTTCCCAGAATGGCCTCGGAGCCATTCTCTATGGGTGTTTTGCTAAGGCCCGAGAAAGGCCTCTAACATCATGTACTGAAGAAAAGGACTTGGGACCAGCAGTTAGCGTGATGGCTATGGCACTGGACTCCCATGTAGTCGACCGTGGTTCGCGTCCCAGACCCAGTGGCTTAAAACTCATGCTGGGCGCGTGTGCGTGCATGCCCAAGATCCCGAGAGGAGAATGGAGGAGAAGGGATTGAGGTGTGGCCATCCCTCCTGGGGGGTGATTTCTCGCTTTCTATCTCTCTGTCTCTCTCTGTCTGTCTGGCGAGTGCACGCGCCCTATAGCAAAAACCTCTCAAAAAAAAAAAGAAAAGAAAAGGACTTGATCTCTTTCTTTCTACGATGTATGCGTAATCAAGATGGCTCCAAACTTCGTCACTTTGATTTTAAGGAACAGCTTTTAGCTTCTGAAACTCATTCTTGGCTCAAGTGAAGTCACAGAGGGCCAAGAAAGCAAGGGTGTAGTCATTTAATTTTCGACTTGTTTCGACTTCTATCCTGGCTTCCAGCAAGCAGGAGTGTCACTGCAGAGTGGTTAAGAAGCAACCCAGGGGTGAAAGTAGCTTTAAGAGGGTCAAGTTCAGTTGGGGTTTCTGCCTGCTTAGTGAATGAACAATTATGGAATGATTTGAAGAACCTGACCCTTCCCTGGGCCATCCAGACTCATCTCGATGGAAACGGGATGTCTGTACCACTGCTTGTCTGTCATTTCAAAAGTGTGGCTGGTTTCCAGTTTTCTCTAGAAAACTTAATTTCTTCTTTCTCATTGAGAATTCCCTTCATCCAATTTCGTGCCTCGTTTTGTCCAGGGTCAGTCATTGCTCTTAATATGTAGATACATTTAAAAGTTCTGGTGAGACATCCAGGCAGGTGAGCCCTGGCTGAGGTACACTAAGCCCGTCTCCGACCAGCCAGTTAGCAGCAGCAGGTGGCCAGGGAGCCCCTAGCACTGAGCTTGGCCCAGGGGGCACTCAGCATGGCGCGAGAACAGCCTCACCCTCAGTAATCCCAGGGCAGACCTTAGTTAGGTGAGTGGCCCTTTCTTTCAAAATAAGGCCTGGCTCCAGCCAGAGGGCAGGGAGTCTGGGACTGCACCTGCCAGTGAAGCAGCCTTGGTGGGGTCACTTTGCTGCTCTGGCCTTCAGTTTCCTTGACCACATGGTAGACATAACTAGGCCCCACGTCAGCAGTACCTGTGGAATAAGATGCCTGGCGCCTGGCGGGTACTTATTGGGCACGGGCTCACACTCCTATTATAAATGAACAATATGTGATAGACCAGCCAGGGGGTGCCATCTCTGGCAACCGAGCAGGGTCAGAGGTGGTCACATAGCTGCTTTCCATAAGGATTTGGCGGGCAGGGCTGCACTGAAGGGTGCAGGGCAGGGAACCCCTAGAGGCACATGTGGCTTGGAATGCTGCTGTCCAGCGAGGGCCCCAGGAGCTCCTCCTGTGACCATGACGGAAAGAGCAAGTGACGCAGCTGCTTCTCTGAGAGTGGCCTCCCTGGGTGAGGTCCCCAGGAGCCATGGCTCTGGGCAGGCTGCCCACTGGCCTGGACAGTGACTCCATTTCTCTAGGCCCGAGTTCTTCCACTCCAGTCCCTTCCTCCCCATGGACACTGCTAGTGAGGGGAAGCGACAGGCAGAAAATCTGAGCCTGGGTCCAGCCTCCACCTCCTACTGACTGAGCACGTGGACACACCACTTAGCCTCCCTGAAAAGTGGGTGTAATTAACGCCCTCCCCCTAGTTGTCATCAAGATCATTCAACCATGACAATGTTTTGTAGAAGTGAAACACTGAGGCAGGGGTTATTAACTGTGGTTACTTTCACCTAACATAATGGCTAAACTACTGTATTCTCCCGTAATAGGAAAGGGTGCAAAACCAGTCCATTTTTAAGATTTCCTTAAGACTTCTCAGTATATAATATTTGTAAGTATATATATACAAAGGTCCATCAGAAATGGGACATTTTTTGGGGAGAGATTTTTGCTATAGAATGCATGTACTCACCAGAGAGACAGAAAGCAAGAAATTCACCCTCCTACACACACAGGGATGGCCATGCCACAATCCCTTCTCCTTCATTCTCCTCTAGGGATTTTGGGCATGCACACACATGTGCCCAGTGTGAGTTTCAAGCCACCAGGTCTGGGACTTGAACCATGGTCAGCCATGTGGGAGTCCAGCAATGTAACCCTTACGCCATCTGCTGGTCCTAGAAATGGGACATTTGAAAAAACTGTTGCTCCCCTTGGAGGTGCTAAGTGGACAGCACCATGAGTGGTGGATGCCCTGTGGTACAGCAGTGGCTTGGACATGCTTTGCTCTGCCAAGGCCAACCGATCAATATTCCTCTGAAGAGTAATGGGAGCCATCGAGTAATTTATTTACATCTCACTGAAAGATAACTGGGGAAATTGTGGCTCTCAGCCGGCCTCTCAAGCCCCAAGTGTGGTGTGATATCCCTGACTAATGGACTGAGTTGGTTGAATCAAAGGCCTGCCCAGCTGGCGTATGAGGAAGGACTTCATTAGTCAAAATGGCGGACCCAAGATTAAACAGCAGTGGGAGGAGTGAAGGACTGCGGCCTGGGGATAGCAGAGTGGCGCACGTCCTGTGGGAAGAAAACCCAGACCAAGTGTGAGCGCAGGAGCTAGCAGGGCTTGGGTGAGACCTCTCTGGAAGTTCTAGGCAGACATCTGAGAGGCCATTTAGAACACGACCCATCTCAGAGCATCCGAGTTGGGTTAGAAATGACTCACTTAGGGACCAGCAGATGGCGTTAACGGTTACACTGCTGGACTCCCATGTAGTTGACCGCAGTTCGAGTCTCGGATTCGGTAGCTTAAAACTCAAGCCAGGTGCTTGTGTATGTGTGCCCAAAATCTCGAGAGGAGAGTGGAGGAGAAGGGATTGCGGCATGATCATCCCCTCTCGGGGGTGTCTCTGTCTCTCTGGCAAGCACACATGTCCTATAGCAAAAAAATCTCTCCAAAAAAAAAAAAAAAAAAACAAAAAAAGAGAAGAAAGAAAAGAAATGACTCACTTGGTCTATCTTGAGTTCCAACAGAAATAACCTCACCTCTGTGTGGTGAATGAATGGCCGACTATGAACGGCTGACTCGAGGACAATTAGACATTCTTCCTCCATGACATCTGCCCCTTGGGATAGGATGCAAGGGCAGGGAGGAATGCATTTTGCTCGAATTCACCAGAAAAGTCATTACCCAGTACCCTCCCTAGCCCTCAAATCAGCGAAGGGGAAGGAGGAGAGCCAACACACGTGCGTTCACGGTGGAGGGTGTGGCAACTCTCCTCCAACCAATACGAAGCTCGGTGTGGACTTGGGGAGGCCTAGGTGTCTTTTAGGTGGTCCTGGCAAAGGTCTGGAGTGCACAGGAGAGCACAGAGCATCTCTTGGGTTATGAGTCCTTGGGAGGGAGTGCCATCCTATCCTGCCAGGGTGGGTGTCGTCCTTCCTCCGCTGCGCCGGGGTCCAGGAGGATGTGGTACAGGAGTGGAGTGACTGCGAACCAGGTGTAGCCTGCAGAAGGCTTCATGGGTCTGCCTCTTCACGAGCACCTGGGCCGCTCCCCAAGGGCTTTTCCTGGCCAGCACCGGCCAGTGTGCACGTTGGGCAGTGCGCGCCCAAGCTAACCGTGGGACTTACCTTGGAATGAGGCTGGCAGACTTGGCTCCTGTTGGCGAATCCAGTCCTTCCCCCGGCTTGGCCGATTTCTCTCGGTTCATTTGCTGCAGGATTGAGTTCAATTCACTAATAACATTTGCCTTGGGGCCTGAGAGAATTGGGCTTTTGACCTCTGTGATGTCACCCCACAACTTGGAGGTCCTTGGCTGGATGACTTTCGCCATCCCAGGCTGGGCACTGCCCGGCGGGGGCGGGGGTGCGGGTGGGGGGATGACAAAGCTATCTACGTCCTCTTCCACGAGCGCATCTTGATAAAGTGCATTGCTTTTGTGTATTATGGGCTTCATTTTTGGCTTAGGAGGTACTGGGGGTTTGTCAACCATAAATGCTTGCCCATCTGCATAGACTGTGCAGGTGTCCATGGTCTCCGCACCTTCGGAAGACAGGGTGGAGATGCTGGACACTGTGGAGATAGTGCTGGTCGTCTCGAGATGGTGGTCACTGCTGCTCCGACTGTCCACCTCCTCGATCCCAGAGTCGGCGACAGCGTCCAAGCTTTCGGGGGGTGGCAGAAAGGAGGCAGGCAGACAGTTCGAAAGACCCGCTGGCTTCTTGCTATCTGCAGAGTGAGTTGGCTGGCTGGAGTTCAACGCAGGGGGCTGGGGGGTGTCATTTTTTTTCTGCTTGACCAAGTCTGAGAGAGCAGGGACGGACGCAGCGCGGTCATCGGGGATATCAAAACTATTTGCAAATTCCAGGGGAGGAGGCAATGGCTCTGTAAAAATAAAATCCTCATCCAGATCTACGGATGCCAGAGGGGGAGGAGGGATGCGGAATGGCAAAATCACCGCCTCCTCCATGGAGCCCGCCGCCACGATGGTTCTGACGGGCGTGGTGGCGGGCTCGGGGGCAGCGGAGATCTGTAAAGCACCTTCGGTTTCGGAGACACCTTCCGGCACCTCGGTCGGCGAGTTGTCCAGCGTCATCTCCACGTCCGCTTTCTCATCCTCCTCCTCCAGGGAGTCATCCGACTTGGCGGCGTCCACGGTGTGTACCATCAGCAGGCCCGCCGACTTCTGCTGGGACGTGTCCATGATGTTGATGAGCATGTTCTTCTTGTCGTCGCCTTTCCGGTCCTTGCCCAGGTCAGTCTCGTACTTATTCTCTGTCTCCTGCCGCCTCAGGGGCCCCCGGGTATTCTGCCTGGTGACGGGAGGGAAGCCTGCTTCCACGCTGGGCCGCATTTTGGTATCAATATAAAGAGGTTTGTTGAGGTCGGCCTTGGGGGCCTCCCCCTTGGATCCCTGCTGGGACTCCTTCATGGCTCGGTCCCTTGCGGAGAGTGCCAAGGCCAGCGGCGAGCTGGGATCCAGCAGCCTGCCTGTGAGTGGGTGGACATAATTCTCAGGGCTGGCTGCATTGCTGCTCTTGGGGGGCGCTCCTGGGCTGCCCTCGGACCCCTTGGCTTTGGACGTGGAATTCAGTGGCCTCCCAGCCTCACCCTGAGCACCGGCCTCCACACCACTCACAAAGTGGTTCTCGGGCTCCCTGGGTGCTGCCCCTGGCGTGGGGGACGGCAGCTGCTCGGCGCCATCCTCCTCGCCAAAGCCGCCGTCCTCTGCGAACGTGGAGGGCCGCATCCTGGGGGCGGGCGGCCCTAGACCGACATCCTCATCGCCTAGGTCTGTGGAGAGGAAGGCTGGCGAGTTCCTCCTGGCTTCCAGTCGCTTCTCCCGGTCGCGGACGGCTCCGGCAATGGCGGCGGCAAAGGGGCTGCTGACGGTCAGGCTGTCTTCAGGCCGCAGCTGGCCAGGTGGCTCAGGGGCCTGAGGGTCGACCTCCATGCTGCTGCCCTGGCTGCTCTTGCCGCTGCTGCTGGTGGAGGGCTCCTTCACGATGATGGTGGGGATGGGGATGGAGCACGTCTTCTCGGGGCTGTCCTCCACGTTGGACTGCTTCACCAGCATCCCCTTCCGCCGGGCGGGCTTGGCCGGCACGTAGACGGCTTTGCTCGCGATCTTGCCCACCTCCGAGTACGGGTTCTCCGGCATCTGGCCCCTCTTGTTGCGGAAATTGGCCTGGGGAGCGGCGGTCCGCGCGTAGAGGTCGTCGGAGTCCAGGGAGTAGCGGTCTAGCTCTCGCCTGTAGTACATGCCCTTTTCCCTCATCATGGTGGCCACCGTGTCGGATCTGGTGGCTGGCGACACCTTGGCGGCCGAATTCTGATTGAACGCAGGCTTGATGGTCCCATAGACTCTTGGAGTCGGGGACTTGGGGCAGTTGTAAGCCGTGGGGGAAGGAGGTGGTGGAGATGGGGGCACAGACTGCGGTGGGGGAGGGATGTCCTCGGAGGTGTCCGGCATGGACAGGCTTCTGGTGAACTTCAGCATTGGAGGGGCCAGAAATTGGCGCTCTTCCTCTGTGATTCCTAGGGTAGAGCACAGGCGTGTTCAGTTTAAACCCCAACAGCACTGGACGCTGCTAAGTTCCTAGGATGACTTGAAACACCACATCTTTGCAAACTCACAGACTCAGACAGAACACACGTCATGAAACACAGCACAAGCCACAATGCCAGGGGGCTGCCTTGGCCCATTCTGAGCCAAAGGAAAAAGAAGCAGAAGGAGGAATGGGGATGCAGTGAGCACGCAGAGATGTCCGAACAGGGCACGTGCCGTGGCGCCGAGCCGCGTGGGGCCAGGGCGGCCAGGCCCGACACTAAGTGTGCACTTTCTCCGGCGTGTGTGTGCGTGCCAGTGCCCAGGCGGGGGCGGACTAGATCAGGAGCGGGATCCGTGCCAATGGGACTTCTTAGGGTCTGTGGCCCTGGGGCTATTACTGGCCTGTCTGAAGTTAGAGCATGGGGGCCGCAGGTGTGGGTGCTGCTGCAGTAGCTTACATGGCACAGACAGTGTGCAGAGTGAAGGACTGGACCACCGTCAAGGACAGCTGTGTTGTTGGTGTCCCTGCCACCTTTAAGCAGGGCTGTCTGCCCACCGTGGCCTGTATGTGCTGTGAGGCTGTGTCACCACCATGGTCTCCTACAGTGACATGAGCCTTTGTTGTCTGACTTTTTTAGTTATGTTGAGAGCTCTCTGTGTTGAGCACCCTGGGCCCTCAGGAGGGGGACTGTGAGGTGGCTGGCTCAGAGGAAAGGCTCTTTGGCTTCTGAAATGGGCCTTTGAGGGGAGGGAGCCCAGATCCCTTCTGTAACCAAACACCCCAACTCAGCCAGAAGCAGGACCCTGAGCGAGCACTCCGCCGTCGGCCTCAGCTGACGGCATCTAGAAGCCCTGCTGGGCCCAGGTTCCTGCAGGAGGGCCGAGCGGTGTAGCGGGCTGCTGTGATCGTGGTAGCTGGGGTCCAAATTCAGCTGACTTGGCACCAAGTCAGGTGGTTCCATGACTTGACCCATGAAAGCACATGGATGTTGGATGCGGGAAGGCCTTCGATGGCCAGCAGTGTAGCCTGGGCGTGACACCTGATACGACTTTGCAGACTGTTCCACAGTTCACAACACGAACACATCCACAGAGTGCACTCCGGGAAGGGGAAGCAACACACACACACGTCGACAGACACGGAGGACTGGGGTCTCATGTCGGGGGCATGCAGGGTTTTCAAAGAGGTAGCAAAATGAATAACTGGAAATCAAAAAAATTCCTAGGACACACTACAGTAATTTGTTCCAAAGAAAACTTCCATTTGATAAGGGTATTCCAAATTGAACAGACTCCTTGTGGGAGAATATTTTGGCATCGCAAAGATAGGTCACTAAAGGCATTCTTCAGCGACCACGTGCTACGCGTTGGTTTGTCTGATAGTTACGTTCCCAAGGAGTAACAATTTAAGAATACACCTTATAAAGTAAATTGGGTTACATTCAAATTACAGATTCCAAACTGTAAGGATTCACTAACCTGATAGAAAGATTCTGCTGTCTGACAGGAGGAAATCAATTGTTATTAACCAGTAAAAAGAGCCTGTGATAAAACACAGCGAAGATGCCACTGTGCCCTGAGCTCGCTGGTCACGGGTGAGTTCTATGAACAGTTGACGTCACCTTCACGGTCATCTATTCAGTTGTTGCTTACTGTCATCCACCTCAAGCTAGTAGTAAACAAGCCACTCATTCAAATAGCACCGCTCAGAGGCATTTCCAGAACCAGAGACCAGCGTTCCCTTGCGGCAGGGCGGGCCAGGGCTGCCCAGGGCAGCTGCCGCAAACACTCTTTACTTTAGATGGCAGAGGTTCACCAGTGTCCGCCAGTGGCCCAGCTGCCATGAGAATCTACCTGGCACAGAGTGCTAGATGATGTCACAAAGGGACTGTCTCAAAGAGTCGTGTTCACCTTTGCCTGTGGCAGAGCCAGTAGGGATAGCCGAGATGTTAACCAAGAAGGTGAGCAGTTTTCTACAGCACAGCACATCATGTCATGAGCATTGGAAAACCTGACCCAGCCACCCTTAGAAGTGTGTCCGTTGAGCTCATCCAGCAGTGTTTGTCAACGCAGGGAACCCACTCGACTTGCCCGCTCTGGGCTGTGCAGGGTGAGGAGTTGAGCCGCTGGCCCGGACCACCCGCTGTCCATCCTCCACCTTCCTTCCCGGCAGTACCCCCACCCTACTGCTATTAGTACATATAACTTGGCTTGCAGGGTTGAGGAAACCACCCAGGATTTTGTATCCCATGGAATAGAAAGTTCCAAATGGCCAGCGGTTCACATGGTCACCTGGCAGGTGAAGCCAGCGACTTGCGCTCTGGCAGGGCAGTGCTAGGACATGATGACCAGACCTCCCGAGGGGCTCTGAGGGGCATTCGAAGCCAAGGGGCAACTTCTGCAGGTGAGGGTCACGTTTCTTACCTATCGATTTCTGCCTTCGCATCGTACCTCGAGGGATGCCCAGAAACGGGCCTTTTGGGCTCCCAGGAACAGTGGGGGTCATCACCGCAATCCCTTGGCGCTCGTACACGGACTGCAAATCAGAGAGCCTAGGTGAGACGTGGCCCTGGCCCCTCCCATGACAGCAGGGCCCAGAAGGTGACAGGAAGCTCCAGTCACAGTCGGCTTCCACCACTGTGGCTTCTTGGGGCCGTTTCTGGGAATGATCTCAAGTCTCCAGTGAGTGAGGTGGATGAGACAGCAGCACCGAGGACCCAGGAGGTGCCCGTCTGCTCCTTCCCCGTTAGCTCTCGATGGTGTGGGCCTCTGGCCCTAATGAGATGCCAGACACCCGATGCTGTGAAACCATGGTCTGCCGGGACACCATTCACCAGAGCAGCTGGATAGACAGGTCTCTGGCCCGTTCTAGAGAATGGGCCAGGACAGATGTTGCTTGGGGATCAGAGTGGTGGGCAGTAGGCTCTGACCCAGTTCACCCTGTGCTCCCCACATGCTGTGTGATCTTGGCCCAAGTCCTCCAGCTGCAGGCTCCATTTTCCTTCTCCATCAATGGGCTACTAGCACCGGCCCCACAGTGTGTATCAAGGTAAACCAGATGTGGGCACCAGTAGGTGAGTGTGGCGCGTGGAGAGCTGGAGTGTGCTGTGGATGTCCCCGGAGCACAGTGCTAGGTCTGCAGTGGTTGGGCTGTCCCCACTTCCTCCCTTCTCTGGCCTGTTTTAAGAGGATCCCAGAGCATACCTCTTCCATCCTGGAAATAGAGTTCCTGCCCAACCCTTTGTCTGCTCCAAGCTGCTGCTTTATCTGCAAAGCTGAGATTCCTGGCCACCCATGCTGGAGCACGGGGCAGGGGCTCAGGGAAAGCGAGAGATGTAAACGCTCGGTAGAAACAGTTTGTGTGCAAGCTCTCTGACCCCAGCAGGGAGAGGCAGTCTCACCTGGGCCCTGAAGCCTCTGAAGCTGGGTAAGGGAGGGCCTGGCTCTTTGGAAAGGCAAGGGCAGCCGTCGCACAAAGCTGGTCAGGGATTGGGGACCATCCAGGATGGAAGAGGTGAGGGGCGGTGTCCTAAGGATGGTGCTGGAAGTGCTCTGGTGTGAAGAGCAGGCACAGGTGGTGCCTGGAGAATGGCGAGAAGCAGCTGAGGGGCCCTTGCCAGGCCTCTGCCCCCGCCTTTCTTTAGGGTAGACAGGTGCCACGGTCCCTTCTGTCTAAAGGGGACTCCTAAGACTACTCTCTTCCACCTGCTCATGGATCCTTAGCTGAGCAGAGCCAGTTTTTTCAAGGGCTGAGGCTGAGGCTGTGTAAGTGGGTAGTAAGGCCAGGACTCCAGCTTGTGCTTCCGACCCAGGGTACCCCTGCCATGGTCACTTGGATTTAGGCTCTGTGTCTAGACCAAGCAGAACATGAGCCTCAACTGGGGAAATAGCTGTCCCCACTCATGCCAAGTCCTGCTGCTGGCTCCCTGGGCCACGCTAGACCCCTGTCTGTGTCCCCAGGGCCCACCACTTACATTCATGTCCGAGACAGCCGGGAAGCACCGGCTAGTGGGCCGCTGCTTGATGGTCGCCACCCTGGACTCCACAGCCATGTTCTCAGCGGTTCGGGAAGGCTTGGAGGCTGGGACTATCTCCTCGGGTTTATCTGCAACAGAACCAGAAGGGTTGGAACAGCCCTGGCATAGTCAGGGGAGGGAGGGTTTCACTAGGAAAGGCACAAGTGCAGCTGCTGCCGCCACCGGCATCTGTGACCGTGCAGGTGTGTTGCCACGTGGGGAGCATGCGCGCGTTTGCTGCATGCATTCCCGCCGGAGCCCATCCTGCGCCCCAGACCTCGTCAGTCTTCAGAGGGTGCACACAACACAGACCGGGTGACGTGCCCTCCTCCTTAGAAGTGAGCAGCCCGCGGAGGGTCCTGAACCCTCTTAGAGAGTTTTTTTTTTTTTGCTATAGGGTACATGTGCTCTCTGTAGACACAGAAAGCCAGAAATCACCCAAGGGGGGATGGCCATACCGCAATCCCTTCTCCTCCATTCTCATCTCAGGATTTTGGGCACATACGCACATATGCCCTGTGTCTGGGACTCGAACCATGGTTAACCACGTGGGAGTCCAGTGACGTAACCACTCCCCTACCTGCTGGTCCTGGTCCTGAATTCTTTAGGTGGTTTCTTTAGTGGAATCACTTTTTCTAATGGGACTTATTCCTGGCACTGTTAACTAAACTGATTCGGAATTTTATTGTTTTAAGATACTCAGACATGTGTTTCCTTTGTAGCCAAATGCAGTTGCCAAGACACAACCAACCAGCACCTATAGGTCGGGTCTTCTCAGGCCTTAGACACCAGGGCCAGGATGCTCAGGAGACTCCTGGGAGCCCAAGCAGGTGCTGCTCAGGGTGGGGTCCATCTACCCCCAAACTAGGACATTCCTGTTTCTTTTTGGAAAGAGCCAAGGGTTAAAAGTGATAAGTGATCCTTCGAGATGAAATGTATTTAAAAAATGGAAATGTAAAACATTTAAAGTTTGAAAATCTGAAAATAGAAGCACAGCCTGAAAGTCTCCTAATGCCATGCTCAGAAGTCTGGGAGACCTAGGCCAGGGGCAGGGGCCTTTCTAGGCCTTTAGTGTGTGGGGCCCCAGCTCGGTAGAGTCCAGCCTGTGCATTTTGGAAAGGGTGCCCGCCTACCCCCATGTGCTTCCTGCGAGAGCCGCCAGGGTGGGGTGAGCCAGTGTGGAGAAGCCTGGAGAACGTGTCATCTGAGGCAGGCACTAGCCTTACCCCCTCCCACCCACCTTCTACAGGCTGCCGAGAACTTTCTACCTATGAGCTGAGACCTTCTAGGCAGCCCCAATTCTGTTCTTGGGGTCTGGTGGCTTTTTGTGAAGTGACCACCTTGGGAAAGGCCCAAGGCTCAGTCTTGAGCATAGGCTGCTAGAATCAGAGAGCAGACTGCAGCTGGGGAGGAAGGCCCGGTTTCAGACGCTGCCGAAGTCACCAGTAATGGAGGCTTGCCTAAAGGAGCTGACCCCTGGAAAAGCCCCCCAACAAAGGCCAGCAGGGGGCGGGGGGCAGCAGTGTGCAGATGGTGGGGTGACCCAGCTGGGTGCTTCAACCTCACAGAGCAGCCAGCACACTTGCAGCTCTGACCCCTATGGAAGTGTTCTTGCGGCCAACCCGGGACAAGGGCTCTGGACCAGGCTCAGCCCAACTGTAGCCTGTGGGCCAAGTCCTGCCTGATCTTATATAACCCTGGGCCTCAGGGTGGTTTTCCATTTCGAAAGAGTTGTAAGAAGAAGGGAAAGGAGAATGTGCAAGAGTGATAGCCTGCAGAGTCCACTTTGTGGACGGTGCCTGCTGACTCCTGGCTGGACTATTATTCCTTCCAGTTTACTAGCCAGGAAAATGCCGAGGGCTTGGGGCAGTGTGGAGGTCCTTAGTCCCATCCTTCCCCATGGGCCCTCATGAGACACATGAGCATCCACATTGTGGGGGCTCTGTCTCCGCTGCCCTTGTAGCTCATCTGGCCTATGGCTGCACCCTACCTCAGGCATCGTCTCCGGAGATTCTGGGACCCACGAGTTTACCCAGCTCATCTCTGACTTTACTGGGGCCACTGTGGAGGGCGTTTCTTTCCCCTCAGGGATGGTGGACACTGGTGAGCACCTACCCTTTACAGAGCAGATCAGGCTTGGTGAGAAATCCCAATTGCCTTGTTCACTTGGCAGCAGGGACACCCCTGCTGTGTCCTCAGCCCCCTGAGCTGTCATTCAAGGCCCCGTCTCCTACCTCAGCTCTGTCTCCCACTGGGGCCCATGCTCCTGTCTCTGCCGTTTCCTGCCTTTTCCCTTTGCTGGCCCTCCTGCCTTTCTGTGCCACTCCTGCCTGCCTTGATCCTAGCAGCTTTCCTCCTCCGAATGTGTCCCCTTCACAGTCTAGGCTGGGAGCTCTCTGTTTCCTCCTCCGACTAGTGTTGAACTCAAGCCTGTGCAGCCCCCTCCTTGCCTCTGCCACACCGCCAGGCCTGGGATCCCCTGCAGGTGGTGCCTGAGTGATGTGCATTGGCAGGCTGATGGATGCAGGGGTCTCTCCCAGTCTGTGCCTGGAAGCTTAGTCCCTTGGTGGTGGCTCTTCAGTTACTTTAACTGAGGAGTGGCCACTGGGGGTCCCAAGTGTTTTTCTCCAATGAAGTCAGAGTCGAGATCTCTTCTAGTGCCAGGGAGCCTCACATAGCAGTGCCCTCGAGCCCTTGGGGTGGGAGCACACCCACATACCACTCAGGGAACCACCAGCACTACCCTGCCCTCCTCTGACCCCTGCAGAGGGAAAGACCTGAGGGGACACTGCAGCCTGAGCCTTTGGGGACATGGCCCAGGAGGGCAGGCTGCCCAGATTGGGGAAAGGCAAACCAGAGTCCAACAAAACATCGGGGGAACATTTCAGAGGGGGGAGCTCTGGGAGCTCTCAGCAAGGACCACGCCGTTTCCAGTGCTGTGCGTGGGTGTAGGAAGGAAGGGTTTCCTCCTGGCTGCTCTGGTGAACCCAGGGCTTGTGCTTGGGCTGGGATCCAGCGAGTCAGGATGGGAGAGGTTCAGTAGAACCAGGGGACGACTATCCTGCTCTGACCTCTGGTCAGCAGCTAGACTGGGCTGAATGTCTGCTTTACCTTCAGTGGGATGTCAGACCCTTAAGCGGCAGCTGGCCATGTCTGGGCATGTGAAGGGCTGCGGGGCTCCAGGGGGATTTTAACTGTGTGATTATGGGTTAAATCAACTGAATCTTGGTAGGATCCTTTTTCTAGATGGGCCCTCCCAGGAGCCAGGAGTCTTTTTTTTTTTTTTCCCTTTGGTGTTAAACCCCAGAGCTCAGAGGCTGGTTTATCCCATCTGCAGCATGCTAGGTTCTGCTGTCTGGCTTCCCTGGAGCACCACTTAGAATCTTCCAGAATGAGCAGGCAGCAGACTGTGCTCCCAGGACCCAAGGACATGTGGCAGGCACCTTGAAACACCTTGAATGATGGGTGTGCGGAGAGTGGGGCAAAGGTCTCCCGGAGGTTGATGATCGCACTCCCTGACCTTAGAGGAGATTCCAGGGCCCTCTTGTTTTTCTTTCCATTGAGAACTTGGCTGCAGGGGAGGGATTGTTCTAATTTTGCAGAGAAAACAACTGAGGCTCTGAGATGCCTAAAGCTGCATACGTGAAGCTATGGGGCTGGTTGGGAGCTTGAGTGTGAGTTGGGGTCACTCGGCCCTCCCACCTGCCATCAGGACAGGGGTGCCCAGGCCTGGTGGGCCACGGTGGTGGAACATACATTTAGAAATGGTTAGAGATGCCATCAGAATGATCTGCCTCGTCCAGATAGCTGGAGGGGGCGGGGGTGACCAGAGAGTTGGGACATAGTTCAACCACGGTCACCACGGGGTGTCGTCACGGAACTGAAGGTGCATTCCCTGAAGCTGTGGCCACCTTAAACATGGACTTCCTGGTCTTCATTTTAAATGTTTCCCCTCCTCCTTTGCCCCCAACCCAAAGGTTCTTTCGGCAGTTTGCTGGGGTGCTGTGGTCAGGGGCTTCTCTTCTAAGTGTTAGTGTTGTTCGTGACAAGAGGGGCTGGGTCTTCGCTTGGCCTTTGGCTCTTGAATATGCTGACCAATGGGAATCTCCTGGCCTTTAAAGTCTTGTTCACCAGAACATGAAGGCTTTTAAGAAAAGCTGTTATGACTGTGGGTTCCTGCTTCTCATTCTAGGCCTGGAAGGATTATGCTTAATTTATAAAAGCCCGGAATTGGGTCTCTATTCAGGGACTCCGGATGAAGAGGATTAGTGAATTCAGCCCCCTGCAGCCTTAAAATGAAGTACTTAGTGCCTGAAAACAATCCCGCAGACAGATTTAAACACTGTCAAGTCTTAAAAAAACAATCTAGCAATGAGTTGATGAAAATGCTCCAGCAAGAACCCTGTATCTCAATTCTCGAAGCAAATGTACATTTCACTTCAGAAGACAGACAGACGTGGTACTAGAGCAGCTGTAAATTGCAGTGGGGAATTTGCATGCAGCCTCTTTTGTCATGGGACATGGCACCCACTCACCCTGCCTGTCACCAGAGTCCCCCAGCCCAGAGTACAGAAAACAACATGCCTGCACCCTCACACTGAAGAAGCCCTGCTGCTCTCTGAGCTCAGTGTCGCGTGTCGCTGACCTTGTAGGAAGAGCCTCCAAACTGTGGTGTGGAACAACTCCAGGGGCCACGCCAATGACCACGGACGGGGAGGCCACGACAGGAGTGTTGTGTGGTTCCCCAAGTAGAAAACATGAGCCCCACTCAAGCCACACAAGCTCCAGTATCTAGTGTTCAAGTTCTCTACCTGTGGCCACATGGGCGCCCAGGAGCCAGGCCCTAGTTCAAGTGGGGTGTCAGCTGTTTCTTGCCTACTCCTTGGACCCCTCCTGGGGAGAGCATGCCGGACAGGACACTCTGGGCCAGACATGCGCTGCTCTGACTCCAGCTTTCCTGTCATGAAATGCTCATGTCATGCCTGGTACCATGCCGGCTCTCAGCCACAGCTCTCCCCCGTGGTGGCCTGCACTGGTGACTCTGCTCTCCTCTCTGGAGGCGCAGCTCCGCCGTGCCATCCCAGAGTGAGACAGCACGAGGCAGGGCTTCTCAGCAACACCACTTCCCAAAAGAAAATGGTATCCCGACACCAGATGTTACGGGTCAGAAGCCATGTGTTAGAAGCAGCGACAGTTGCCAGAGGTTCACCTCTCAGTTTAACCCTCCCTGCTGGGAGTTAGGGAGCAGAAGTGTGGCTTTGGGTCCTGGTGGACTGGTCCTGGCCTGCAGGCTCCAGTGAATCACACACTGCCCAAGGGGTAGGCTCTACGGGTACAGCCAGAGATGCCAGCGGGGGAAGTTATGGGGCACCCTGTAAGCCGGGGCTGGACTCCCATCCAACACCCCTGCACCACCACCTGGCCTCACCTGGGGCACTGTGGCTCACGAGCATGGTTCATGGCAGTCTTGTTCCTCCTGGGGCCTGTGTCAGCATGGTGTCTGGGGGCTAAGCAGGTGCTTGGTAAACACTCCAGGGCTAAACAAGGGTCTTAGAGGTAAAAAACCCAGGATCATGAAAAGGTTGTAGCTGCAGGGGTTGAGCTAAGATTGGAGGCTGTTTTATTACCCTACAAGTCTCCTAGGGCTGCTGAAACCAGTCATCACAAACCTGTCTCAACACAATAGAGATTTAGCCCCTCACAGTTCTGGTGGCTGGAAGTCCAAGAGCAAGGTGCTGGGCTCCTTGTGAAGGCTCTGGGGGGACACCTCCATGCCTCCAGTGGTTGCTGGCAGTCCTTGGTATTCTTGGCTTATTCCTTCTTTATAAGGAACCAGTCAGGGGATTGAGGCCTGTGCTAACCCAGCATGACCTCATCTTGATTCCAACCACTAAGACCCTATTTCTAGGTAGGGGCTCATTCACAGGGCCTGGGGGTACACACTTCAACTCAGTTCAATTGAAAAAGCCTGGTTTTTCTCATATTCCACATGGCCTCTCTGGACCTATCTGGACTAGCTTAATGAGGCTAGTCTGGTCCTCCCAAGGAGGCTGGCAGGGATGGCACAGGGGGTCTGGAGTGTTCACTGTGCATTGATCTGCTGTGCCACACACGCCTCATGGGTCCCTTCCTGGTGTTGTTCTCGTGGCCCCGTGAGTTGTCAGGGGCTGCCCTGGCTGGAGGCAGAGCTGCCGCTGCCCATACTGAGTGCTGAGTGGCTCAGAGCAAGGGCCTCCCTCAGGCCCCACTGGCCCAGCTGCATCACCGCACAGCAGCGGGTTGGGCTGCGGCTGCTAGGCCCTTTGGGATCTGTTTGCCCACACCTCTAACCTCCTGTTCAGCTACCCTCTTCTCGAATTTGAAGCCAGGTTTCTCTGCCATTCAATGGGAAGGGGCTCCACTTCCCAGTACTCCTGCCTATCCTCTGGGCCTCTCCTTCCCAGGGCATGCAGGCTATGACTTCTGTTCTCTGCTCTTCCACTGCAGTCCAGGGGAGGTGCCTCTCATGGGGAAGGGTGGTGCAGATAGGGCTAGGGTCCGGGCAGGCCACAGGCTCCCAGCCAGCCCCAAGTTCTGAGCTGTTCTTGTTGACTACGGGCTCTCCTTGAGCAGCTCTGTCATGGCAACTGGGTTGCTGGGAGCCCACGGTGGGGGCCTCCTTTGGGAAGGTGCGATCGATAGAGGGCTGTTCGGGTGAGCTGGGATTGCAGGGCGTTCATATGGAGATGTAAATCCATGACTCTCAGAAAGGGCATTCTTCATCCTGGGCATCTGCATTCTAGAAGCAGTCATGGAGCCTGGAAAGCCTGCAGGGAGTTTCCTGGGCAGCCAGGGGCTGGAAGTAGGCTGTGAGGACTGGGACAGTCGGGAGGGGAAGGGGGCAGTGGCGATTCTGCCTCCTGCCCTGAGATGATGCTGCTCCTGCTGGTGTTTGGGCCACTAAGGTTATGCAGAGGGGTGTCCTCTCAGCACCCAGGAAGAGTGGTTCTGATCAGGAGAGCTGCTTTCTTAATCATCGGGGTGGCTTCTCTAGAGCCAGGATGTGGAAGGAAGGGCAGAGTCCATCCAGGGCCCGCTGTCAGGCAGGCACTTGTGAGCTTGGGTCTGGGCAGCTGGCAGCCAGGGGGAGGGGTGGTGAGGAGAGGGGTGTGGCTAAAGGGCCTACCTAGCTCCCTCCTTCCTCCCAGCTCGAGGCGCACCTTCTCGTAGCCTGGGGCGGCCTCTCAGGCAGTGGGGCTTTCTGGACTTTATAGGAAGGGAACCCTTTGCCTGCTGCAAAGGGGACTAAGGGTCAGGAATGCAGCCAGGGGGTCCTCTTGTCACATTGCCCCAACCAGACAGCTCCATGTGACTCAGTCCCTCATGAGGCCTTGCAGACAGGGCTCAGTGGTGCCCACCAGGTTGTCGCCTTTGGTGAGTGACCAGGGGTCCCAGGGGCTTCGTGATCGAGACAACGTAGACACAGCTCCGAGTAGAACTACTGAACACACTGGGGGAATCACACACAGAAGCAAAGCAGACGCAAGAGGCCCAAATGGGGCATGTTCCAGGGCTAGCGCCCCTCGGCAGGACCCCAAGATGGAGAAGACAACACGAGGCTCACGGCACAGTCTAGACGTCACGTGACGGTCACAAAGGGGATTCCTCTTCGACTGGGTGTGATGGGCAAGGGGACTCAGACAGACACTTGCTCTTCCCTTACCCTTCTTCTTCCGGACTGAGGCTTGCAAACAGAAAGTGGATTGCTGTGAGCCGGGGGGTGCAGTGCCCAACCACAGACTATACTTGGGGCCTCACTTGGCTTAGGGTGGCCTTAGGGAATGGGCAGGCGGGAGAGCAGGGGCCTCTGGAGCCCCACAGACCTGGCTGCACTGTTTACTGAGTGGCTTCCCCAGAAACCTGGGGGCTAACGTGACACTGCAAAGATGCTCTCCTCCTCAATGAGCATGCCTCAACCCCACCTGCATCCTGCTGAGCTCTGCAGGGCAAAGGCCACGGTGGGGCCACCCAAGGCTCTGCTCAAGAAACCCCAAAACTCCCCTCCATCTCCTGAATGGGCTGATGTTTGCTGGAGCCCCCACCCTGCCCCGTAAAGATGTATCACTTGCTGGTTTTTCTCAGGTGAGCCCCAGATGGGCCTCCTTGGAGAGCAAGCTGGGTACCTGTCATCCTGTTTTGGATAGGAGTGCAAAGACTCACCGAGCACTTGGAGACAGTGGATTGTATCAGAACTGATAAGGCATGGCCAAGGTGTGGGGCAGGAGGGGTGCGGTGGGGACACTGCTGGCTCTGGGCAGCAGCACAGTGGCCAGAGGGCAGCAGGTTAGAGGAGCATCCCTCCAATGTGGTGTAGACACCTTGCAATCCCTTCTCCAATTCTCCATCCTGCCAGGATTTGGGGCATGCACATGCACCTGGCTATTCAAGCAGCTGAGGCCGAACCATGGCTGGCCACGTGGACGCCCTTAGGCACGAGGCTACGGGGAAGCCCTGGGCTGCTGTTTTCTAGAGGACCAGGGCCACACGCAGTGTGTTGGCAGGGAAGGACCTCTTGTGGACAGTGCCCTGCCCTGCTAGAGCCCTCCCAGAGGAGCAGCCTCCCATTCGGAGAGGCGAGGAAGGGGCTGTTCTGCTCCATGCTTAATTCCAAGGGGTGGAAACCAAGGACCTCCATTGATGGCTGGGGTCAGGTGGGAGTGATGGTCAGCCAAGACATCAGAGACAGGGGCTCAACTTTTAGCCCAGAGACAGCTGGGCCTGTTTCTATGCCCACTTGCTCTGGGTGGAGCCAGCATCTCCCCCTCCTCACCATCTCTGAGCCACCCTCGTCCCAAAGGTGTCTCGGAGTCTATAGTGACTCTCAGGATGGCGTCATACAGCATCTGGGAGAGTCACAGCTGACTGGAGCCAAAGTCATCTCTTTAACAGCTGCCACATGCCCACAGGCTTAATGGTTCCTCTTGTCCAGTCTACAAAATGGGATCACATGGCCAGAACCTGTTTCTTGCAGACCTCATAAGAAGGTGCTAGATGCAGACCACACAGACCTGCCAGGCCGACCACTATCCATGCCAACCCCTGGGGTGTGGGAGTTGGAGCCAAAAGTGTCAGGAAGCAGCTCTCCCAGGTGGGGTGCCCTAGACAGCAGGGGGAGCTGCTGAGGGGACCCCGTGGGGCTGCTTACCTTTATCCACTAGTGAGAGGCCCAAAAATTCAAAACAAAACAATGTTAGATGAACAGAAAAGAGTACCATGACCCCACAAGGCTCGCAAAGGAGACACCAAATGTGGGAGCTGGCTGAGCATGCAGGGGCATTTCCAGACACCCTGCTGGGGACAGGAGGGGTGCTCGGGTCATTAAAGGGGACAAGCAAGCGAGCACAGGGACATGCACAGGCTGGGGCCTCTTGGAGGGCGGTGTAGGGGCATGGGCGTTAGCTGCAGCAGGGCCGGGGCAGGCCAGATGGTGACTTACCGAGCTCCTCCAGCTCCGAGGTCATCGACTTGGAACGCAGGGTGAGGGCTGTAGTTGGTGCTCGCTTTGGAGGTGGGGGAGCTTGACGGCAGATGGAGAGAGAGAGGTGTGAGCCCGGCCCACATGCCCACCCCATGCTTCCAGGCATGACTATGCTTCCAGGCACGGGAGTAGCCTGAGGGGCAGCCCTTGCACCTGCAATTTTCTTTGTGGTTTTCTGTGGTGGAAGGCTGACATGTGGGGATACCAGACACATCCTCTGTGACCTGTGGGTGGGTCATGTAGCAGGGTGTGTCTGCAGGCTCTATGGAACCACGATGGTTAGGGACCATGTAGGTGTGCTTAGGAAGGAACAGGACAGCCTGCACCTGTGCGCTCCTCGCCTGCCAGCTGGCCTGGGACTCCGCCCTCTAGCGGGGCTGAGGGGGAAGCACAGAAGAATCTGTGGGGAAGGCTTGTCTGGCTTTGCCTGCAAGATACTTAACCCATACACTATGGGGCCCTCTTGGATGGTGCCGGCAGCCTCTGGGCTTTTTACCTGTCGCCCCTAGGCTGGGCATGGGGACAGCACCTTGCAGAGTAGATTCTTTTGCACTCCCGAGCCTCACCCTGTTACAGCAGGGACACAGTCCTGGAGAAAAGCCAGGGGAACTACCCTTTTGCTGACTGAGGAGCCTGGATAAGCTTCAAGCAGCTTTCTGGGCAGGACTGAGGTTGTTCCATCCTCCCTCACCGTCACTCTGCAGCCTCATCTGTTCAAGGTTGGGCCCCCTTCCTCTGGGCAGCCTGCCCTGGCTGCTCTCCCTTGCTGGCCCCCACTGTCTATGGTGGGACTGCCTGGACTCCCCTCAGCTCCAGTGTCTGCCAGCTGTGGTCTTCCTTGGAAAGGAGAGTGGCCCTGAGTCAATGTCATAGGTCCTAGTGGCACGTTCCAGCCTGGTCCCTGTGCTTGGGCTCTCAGGAGGGCGTGCACCATCCGAGAGAAGCTCCGCGCACCACTCACCCTGCAGCTGCCCTGGCAGGGCGTGAGCCCCAGCTCTCGCGGGACACTCACCTTTCTTCCTGGCGGTATCGTCCGGGTCCAGATTCCTGGTCACCGTGACCACCTTAAGGACGAGGTGATTTCCTCCCTGGCGGATCATGTTCACCACCTGCCTGTGGCCGACTTTGACCACGTTCTCATTGTTAACCTGCAGGGAGAGATGCAGTGTCAGCGGCACCGCGAGAGCAGTGGGGAGACCAGGAAGGCACCAGGAGACCTGCAGGGTTTTGGAGGCAAAGGTAGTTTTGGGAAAACCAGAATGAATGCCACCATGGCTGTGGCCAGGGAGGCTAGGGGAGCCTAGAGAAAGGTGTGGCTGGGCCTCCAGCAGCTGGCACCTGTCACCTGACACATGCGGCCTCCAACGTATGTCCTGCAGCTGCAGTAGGGCAGAGTTTGACCCTGAGCCCGCTCAGGTGCTCACTCGGGCAGGCCCAGAGCAATGTTCACCCCTCAGTAAAGAGCAGACAGTCCAAGCCCACCAGGAGAGTTCCACAGTTGGGGCTGCAGTGCCACCCGCTTTCCGTGGTCACAGTGAGGGGAAGCTTAATTGCTTCTCACACATTTTGGGAACACATCACGCTGATCTAGCTCATTTCCTTGAGGGTGTTGGGGGTGCTCCCCAGAAGCTTGGCTCGGCAAAGCAATAAGGGCCATGCTGGGACAGCTGCCCGCATTCCTGGGACATCGGGTTGAGATTCAGGACCCCTACCGTGGGCACTGCCCTGCTGGTCAGGAGCCCTCTGCCCCATTGGTCATCATGGTGGCAACAACCGGACAACCTGGCAGGGAAGCAGGACTGGAGTGGCAGCCAAGGCAGAGGCGGGGCTGGACCCAGTGTTGGTATTTCCTCAGGCAGAGCTCAGCAGGAGGGCTTCCTCTGCCACGTTCCCTCTCCCCCCAGAAGACCAGCGAGAGAGGGGACTGGGCGCGCACCTGGGCTCCACCCTCCAGCCCTGGCCACAACACACAGCCCTGGCCACAACACACACGATCGATCAATCGATCCAGCTAGTGGTTTTCGAGCTTCGCAGAGGGAGTGCCCCGCCCCCACCCTGCCCACGGAGCCAAACCTTGACGGGAGGGCCCTGGCTCCTGTCAGCCTGCCGCTCTGGGCTGGGAGCACATTTCAGAGCCCGCCTTGTCCATCTCACAGCTACGTCATGCACCACCTTTGGAAAGGAAGACCACCCAATGGTGATGACAGATATGCTCTGGAATCCTGGGTGATCACCAGCCACCATTTTGCTGTACTTCTTTCTTCTGCTCTGGATTCTTTAAAACTTAAAGGATCTAGGGACCACCAGTTGGTGTAATGGCTATGTCGCTGGACTCCCATGTAGTCAACTGCAGTTCGAGTCCTAGACCCGGTGGCTTAAACTCACACCGGGCGCGTGTGCGTACATGCCCAAGATCCCGAGAGGAGAATGGAGGAGAAGGGATTGCGGCGTGACCATCCCCCCTGGGGGGTGATTTCTCGCTTTCTGTCTCTATGTCTCTCTCCCTCTTTCAGGCGAGTGTACGCGCCCAAGAGCAAAAACCTCTCCAAAAACAAAAACAAAACCCGAAAGAATCTAGAATATGCTCATACAGAAAAGTTGAAGCCTAAGTTTATTACCTGGTGAGTTTCCAAGCAATCTAACACCCATGTAACCAGACCCGGATGAGAAGCACGTGGCTTTCAGCTCCCCGTACTGACGCCAGGCATGGGATGTGCCAGTTCCCATCACCTCAGAGATGGCTGAAGTGGCCCCTCCAGGTGGAAAATGGTCTGGCCCTGCAGTGGCTGCCTTGCGGTCTGCCATTGGGGACCGGCTCTGTGTCAGCACTGACTCTCCTGGTCCTGGGAGCACCCTGTCCTGGGCACCCAGGCCTGAATATGGAGTCTCAGCGGCAGGACCATCCTAGGAGTGGCTCTCAGAGAGAAACTTGCCTAACTCAGGGTGGTCACCAGGACCTCTGTGAAACGAGTTCCTCGGTGTATTTCGGAAACCAGATAGGAACTGAAGAACCAACAGGAGAGAGCATGGGAGAGTTCTCCGAGGGAGGAGAGGCCCCTGACTGCTCTCACCTGTGCTGCGCCAGCTGAGAGATGCAAGCCGTGGACTGCCCTGCTCTACTCCCTCTGCTAAGCACACGGGAGTGCCTGTCGCTCAGAAATTCGTTCTTTCTCTCTGGGCACACACTAAAATTTGGGAGGTGCAGGGTTTTCAGGCAGGTGACCTGTCCCGGCTGCCTGGAGCCTGTGTCCCCATGAGTCAGCCGACACACACATGAACACCCGGAAACCTTCAGGTGGGCTGAGTACCCAGTGAGGGGCAAGAGCAGGCACCTGTGCCAGAGTGGGCCGGGCTGCACAGGGGGAGAGAGCCTGGGCAGAGCGCGAGGCAGGGGCAGCACAAAAGGCCGAGGGTTCCGGGGCCTAATTCCCTGCAGTTAGGTTTGGGGGCTGGAAAGTGGAGGTCTAGTCTAGTTCATGGTTTAGGATGACGGAGCACTCTGAATTGAGACAGGCTGGGTGGGAGCAGAGGGGACCGGTGAGGTGGGGACAACACCTAGTCAGGGATGATGGTGCAGAGGCCTGGGAGGCAGCAAGGCCAAGATGAGGTCTCTGGCAGAGGGAGCAGAGGTGTGCTGGCTTCTGGGGGTGGGAGAGGGATGAGGGAGTGAAGGGGGAGCGGTGGGTGCAGGACGGCCGTCCTTGAGTCTGGGTGAGCTGCTGGTAGACGTGGAGGCCCTCTGCAGCCATGCCGCCCCTCGTTGGCAGTTTTGTGTCTGAGATGTCCCGGCCTATCCTTTGCGTTCCCACCTAAGCTCATGCCTCGATGCCACCTTGTGGGCAGGACTCTGTCCCATGCCTCCCCATCCCCCGCCGACTGCAGCAGATGCCAGGAGCTGCTCAGAGGGCGCAGAGACATGAGGCTCCGATGGGATGCCACCTGCCTCCTCTGGAAACCGGATGACGAGCAGGCTAGAGTAGCTCAGCGGGGCACCCGGCCCATCTGCCTCGGCTGACACACACAGCTGACCCCGCTCTCCCTCCTCCTGCCTGTTGCCATTAGGACGGAGTGCTAAGTCAGCTGGGAGTCAGCTCTTGGGCAACCCTGAAGTCTAAGCTGGGTCTTCTCTGGTCATAAGCACCACGTTGGTTGGAGCCCAGAGCCACCTCTGATGCCTGTTACTCACGCAGCGCCCCCTGGAGGCTCGTCCATGCCTCTCAGGCAAGGCTCATCCTCCTCTCAGGCAAGGGCATCGTCCGGGGAGCCTCTTTGGACCTGGCAGCACGGCTGTGGGACCCAGAGGCAGAGGACGATAAGTCCTGGCTGTGTCCTCCCTGCTGGGGGCCCTTGGAAAGACACCCATCCCTCCTAGGGAGGGTTCTCAGTAAGTGGGTGTGGGCTGTCTGCTGTAGCCACATGTGGGGTGCCAGCACACACACCCCAAACCATCCACACTCCTCAGTGTTCCCCTTGGTCCCTAGCCTGGTAAGTCTGATGCTGCCAAGGGCCCCATCTTGCCTGCACAGCTTCAGCTCAGTGGTCACAATTTAAAACCACCAGACTTTTACACAGAACACCCAGAATTTTAGTCCCCACTGACACGTCAGAGAACCTGGCATGGACAGATCTGGGCCCTCCACGCCCCCATGGCAGTGTGAGCTGGAGGCCGAGCAGCCTCCTTTGAGCCGGTGCCCGCAGCCTCCACCACACAAATGCCTCTACCGCCAGGGCCAGCCTGAACTCTGCACATTGCTGCGCTCACGGCCCATCCAGGTGATGCTCGTGAAATGGGTTTCGGTCTACCTTGGAATCCACAGGTGAGAACACACCTCCCCTATCAGCCGTGGCTGACACACAGAAGTTGACCCTGCCCAAACGGACTTGGGTCACCCCCTCCCCAGGGCTGCCGTCAGGGTAGTGCCACACCCTGGAGCCCGCCAGAGCATCGTCTTTGTACCCCAGACGCACTTGTCCTGGATAGAACTGTTTCCTCCCAAAGTCCTATGTTGACGTCCTAATTCCAGTACCTCAAACTGTGACCTGATTTAGGGAGAGGGTCTTTGCACATGCAGACGAGGAGAGATGAGGTCATCAGGGAAGGCCCTAACCCGGTACGACTGCCATCCTTATAAAGAGTGCAACTTTGGACACGGGAAGCCCTGTGAAGATGACGGCCGAGGTCAGAGTGGTGCTTCTTCAAGCCAAGGCACTGTGAAGGTGGCCAGCAAATCACCAGCAGCTAGAAGAGGGGCCTGGCACCAGCCCTGCCTCAGGCGTGGAAGGAACCCACCCTGCTGACCCATCGACCTGGGACTTCCAGCCTCCAGGCGTGTGTGTCTGTGCCAGTCATGGAAGCCACCGCCTGTGGCCCTTGGTGCAGCACCCATGCCCTACTCACTGAGGGTCTGCCCTCCACACTGAGGGTCTCACCCCCACTTCAGCCCTTTGCTGCAGCCCCTGACACCTGGCCCACCTGGCCGGTCTAGCATGGTCGGACAAGACCCCAGGACCACCCTGATGCAGACACTGGTAGGGTCTGAGCCTTCTGTCCTGACCCCTTGGCCTCCTCTAGCGCCCAGTGTGGGGACAGCACTCACCCTGTGAGGATCTGCCACACCTGCAGCTCTCGTCTGGGGCTTCTGTGCAGGCGCCCCAAGTATGGTGAGCCTTGGGTTTTGTGTTTCAGCCTTGGTTTAGTCATGGAATCCCTGCTGCTTTCCTGCACAAACCACCACTCTTGGTCCCTTCGATCTACTGCTCTTTTTGCCTGATACCCCTACCCACCTCGCTGGCCACAGCTTGAAGCTGGGCACTCACAATGGATGAACAATGCATGTACCCCCAAAATCCACGTGTTGAAACCTTTACCTCCATTGTGGACTTACAGCTTTTAGAACTGCCAGAAGCTCCAGCCCATCCTGTTTTAGCAGCTAAGACAGAACTCAAGCCAGAGGTACATCTACTCACCCAGGCTCTTGGCCATAGGCCTTCCCTCAGGGGCTTAGGGACTGATCTCTTACCCCAGCCTCTGCAGGTGTGTGTGTGTGTGTATTTCTCCCTGCTTGGTGAGGAACTGTCTTGGCCAACAGAGGATCTGGGAGCGACTGGTTTGTATTAAAGGGGAGCCTGGGAGGAAGGGGACAGAGGAGCAGACCTTGGGGCCACAGTGTCTCCAGACAGTGCAGAGAAGGTAGAAGCAGCCCTGGCTGGCAAAGGACCTCCTTGGAGGGGTTGTGAGTGGGTGCTTGGGGGCAGATGAGCATTGCCACTGGAAAATGGCTACAGGAACCCAGGACCCACTCCCAGCAGTATTTGTACAGAACTTTGGCTCCCCTCCTGTACCCCACAAAGGTCCTATCAGAAATCATTGCCTATAATGGGGTTCTCACTGGACACAGAGATGTGGGTCCCTGAGGAAAGACTGTCTTTTCCTAGGAGCTGTCTTTCCAGGCAGCTCCTACTGGACTTAGCTCTCTCTAAGGTCTCTGGGTGCTGGTCTGAAGGGCTGAGAGAGCCCCTCTACAGGAAGAGAATGTCCCCCCAGGGCAGGACACTGGGCAGGGGACGTGTTGACATCTTCTTCCACCTTTTGGTGGGGAATGTCTTTGCCTCAGATGAGTCATGGCATGGTCAGCCCCAAAGGCAACTGAGTCCTTCCCCCTCCCTGGACTGGGAACTCCCAGCTGCCCTTCTCCCCTTTTTGGGTGAAGAAGAGCCTGACACCATCCCTGAACAGAGGACTGGTTTCTTAAGCTATACTGCCACATGAAGTTCTGACCTTGTCATCCTGCACTCCTGACATTCTTCCCCATCCACCTGCCCCTCAGCCATGGTGGTCTTACTCCCATCCTGCTTTACAAAATAAATGAGCTTTGGATGGAGTCCTTCCTAAGAAAGCAAGATATGTACCAAGGTCAGAGCCATGGGCGGTGTTTTGGGCTTCTGCAGATCAGCTGTCGTCGTGCAGGTGATTTCTAAAAGGAGGCACAATGAGCCAACTGGAGGGTACCACAGTGCCTATAAATATACTCCTATGAAAAAGGCTGCCAAAGTCACAAAAGGACTGGCAATACCACTCTCCCTGGAATTAACTGATGAGACCAGCACTGAACAAAGGATGAGAAGATTCAGCTACATTCTCCTTCCTGGTATAGCAGAAGAGGAGTAAAAAGCTTTAGAATTTTAGAATCTCCCAACCTTTAAACAAACCTAAAATCAGTTTGCCCTGCAATGGGGCTTTAGATCCACTTACAGTCCTCAAAACAGATGCTACAAATTGCTCATGTAGTGACAGCAACTCCAGAGCAGGTGAAGAGCTTGCTGTTTCTGCATATGCTCAGGTTGGCATCTTGAACTTTCATGGGGTTTTAGTGCCCCTTAGAAAACCTGGACCTGCAATTTTGGCATGTTGCCACCAGGGGGAGGTACGTGTGTGCTTTGATCATGCTCCACATTTACATAAGACTCAGACTAGTATTGAGGATTCTGGGGATTACCACCTTGGAATACAGAGAAACTGTTCACAAGTTGTAGATCCAATTTACAACAAGAAGCAGCAACATGTCTTTCCATGCACCATCATTACATATAGTCATGGAGATATTTATGGAGAGAATGAATCATAGCTACATCCAGGTAGATGGCAAAAACCCAAGCCTGGCACACAGCCATGGCTCATGAAACTTCTGTGAAGAATGAGAATACATGCCTTCCTTTGTACATCATTGTCTTCCACTTAACTTGTTATTTAAAATATCAAAGTTGTGTATGCATATCCTTTAAAGAGACAAGTATTCTACAAGTCT